AATGTTGGAGCGAATTTCTGGCAAATCATTTAATACCGTAATAAGAATTTGTTTCTTAGTTTCTGTGCTTTTGCCAGTTCTTTGAGTGAGAGGTTGTTTTGAGACGGTGAGCTGGTATCAAACCTTAACGCAGTATCAACATTGCATAGACAAAACTTGAGAAAAACTTTTCCACCACCAATTCCGAGCTTAACAAAATAAACATTAGAAATTTTGCGAGATTGAGCAACTTGATTCACAAGATAAGATAAATCTTTGCAGTGAGCAACCACCGGAACTGTACCAGAATCTCCTTTTCCGACGGTAGTTTTAAGGTCACTGCAGGTGAAGAAGTCTTGATCTGCTCTTAAAACATTTTTTTTAAAATTTGCATCTACCATAATGCTGCTTGATGTTTGGTTTACAGTTCTGACCAGTTTCTTTATTCCGTTGTTTGATAGTCTTGTATTTAATTGAACATTTAAAAGAGTTAGAGTTATCGATTTTAAAACGCTTGATAGTGGCTGGACACTACTTTGATTTGAAACCAAAACATATATATTTTATCTTTATAATACTTTGTTAAAGGTTTGTTTAAAACTTTTAAATTATTCTTTATTAAAGTGATTAGAAACTTGTAAATAAATGTATTAAATAACTATTCAAATTAATGAAACTTGTCATACTTGTTAACAATTTAGATGAGATTTTATTGGATGACATTTTTTTGACAGATTTTTGCTTTTTTTTGCTATTCAAAGGATTATTCTCTCTTTCATAAGATTTTTCTTTGACTGGCCCTACAAACCTTTTATTTGTCAAACATTTTAGTTATCTAAATTTTTATATTTTTTATATGTAGGTATCTTTATAAAAGCTTTTCAACCAGTTTTTAACATTTTCATGCTTTTGGACAGTAGTTTATAAAACGCGTACACGAAATAAACATGAATGAGTAAAGACGTCATTTTATTTCAGAGATTGTTTTAAAATACTTCTAATTGTGTTCGTATTTTGTTGGCAACGTGTAACGATTTCAAAAAAATGTTTTAGTTTACTCATTTAACTTAAAATAAATTTTAAAAATGACAAAAGCAGAAGACGTTAGAAAAAATATTTTGCACAAATTTTATGAAAAATCTGAATAGAAGCTACAACTTAGTTGCAAAAAAGCAAATACATCTCTACACTGTTAGTCACGTTATTTAACGTTTCCCCAAACAAATTTGATACAACGCAAATCTGGTAATGGAGGAAAGAAGGTTTTTCAAGGTATAAAACTGGTTAGAAAACTGGTTAACAGTTTTGTGAATAATCTAAGCCCCTCACAATGGAAATGCGCAAAAAAACGAGGATTTTTTTTATAGTTTTGTTGTAAAAGTTAAAAATAAACATGTTTCTGAGTCTTCACTATCTGGTAAAATATATGTTAAAGAGTGTTTAATATATCATTTTCCTCTTACTAAATCCCATTATTGTACAAATGTGTTCTAGCCTAATTTATCATCAAGTTATTATAGCAAACTGGCTTCGGTTGATATAAACAAAATGACGTGAAAATTTTGTTAAAAATAGCAAATATTCCAAAATGCATATATTATTGCAAAGTACTTTGGATAATTATTAAGCGAAAAAGGAAAAAAAAATAAGACTGTTAGGTCTTCTTGGGGCACCTAAATAACAAAATAAAAAAAAAGTAATGTTAAAGATTTAAAAATGTAATTTAAAAAGCATTAAATAATTTTGAGTGTTGTTCTGTGCGTAAATTTATGGGTACCACCAAAACAAAAGTTCAAAATTCTATTAAATGCCCACAGGAAAAAAATAATTTTTATGAATTATTTTATCTTCCTATATTAATGTATTAAAATTAATACTTAGTTCTAAATAAAAGTTGATGAGTACCTTTTTATAGTTGTTTTTCTATTTTCACACTTATTTCGCGTACACGCATTACCTTAGAAAATGCTGATATTTTCATGCAATGCAATAAACCATGCTTTGAATAGCGAATCAATATTTTGGTGTATAAAATGAAAATGTTAGTAGTAGCAATAAAACAATTTTAACAAATATTGTTGGTATTACAAAGTAGAACACTAATGTAACCATTATTTTGAAAATAATGACCGAATATCACAGTAACCGGTAAAGTTTTGAGTTCTAAGTAGCAAAAAACTAACAAAATATAAATAAAAACTACCATAAATTTATAAATAATCAACCAAACTGGCTGAAATTTAATCCAGAGTTCTCATTTTACGGGTGTTTTTATTGTCGCACTATAAAGACAAATTTTTACTTTTAGTTCAACATTCAACTTATTTTCCACGGACAAAAACAAAAGATTTCAAAATTTGCGTCACAGGGTACCTTAATGTGGGAATTATCCAGGGCCGTGCACAGGATTTGGGGCCCCAAGCATCCTTTAATTAGGGTTCCAAACCTAAAAAAAAAAAAAAGCCTGTACAAGTTTTTGATTATATTACTGGTAAATTGGTATAGTTAGGCTTAACTATAA